TTTCTTTCTTTCTTTCTTTCTTTCTTTCTTTCTTTCTTTCTTTCTTTCTTTCTTTCTTTCTTTCTTTCTTTCTTTCTTTCTTTCTTTCTTTCCTTTTTTTTTGTGTCGGTCCTGGGGCTTGAACTCTGGCCCTGGGCACTGTCCCTGAGCTACTTCACCTCAAGGTGAGCACTCTACTTGAGCCACAGTGCTACTTCCAGTTTTCTGGTGGTTAATTGGAGATAAAAGACTCACAGACTTTCCTGCCTGGGCTGGCTTTGAACTTCAATCCTTAGATCTCAGCCTACTGAGTAGCTAGGATTACAGGTGGCCCTCCTTTCCTGTTTCTTTGGCCACATCTTAATATGTTTTGTTGTTTTATGCTTGATCCTACAACTAGTTTCATAGTTTCCACTCAATCATCAAATATTGTAAAATTCTACTATGATTTATACCTTTTGCTTAAAAACTTGTTCTAAGAATACCAGTTTCCAACATCTTCTAGAGCATCCCATTATCATTATTCTTTTTGTTTACAGTTTGTTTTAATTCCTAATTACAGGTAATCTCTCCCAGACAACAAAAAGGGATTTTCTGAGTTAAACAACCATTTTCCCATTAGCAATTTGTTGCCTGGGATTGTAGAGTACTTGTTTGTTTTACAGTGACTTTTCTGTAATAGTATCTGCCCTTTAACTGAAAATACTTCCCAGTTGTAGTTGATATCACATAGTAAAAACCATCTTTTATTATCCAGAACTGTTAGGACCATTGTCAACATATTTGTCCAAGTAGCCTGGATCAATTATCATGTCTTATTAGCTTTGCCTTTGTGTGTGGGGGGGAGTGCGTGCACATGTGTGTGTGCATGCTAGTACTGTGCTTGAACTCACAGCTTGAGTGCTGTCCCTTAGCTTTTTTGCTCAAGGCTGGTGCTCTACCACTTGAGCCACAGTTCAACTATTGGTTTTTTGGTGCTTAGTTGGAAATAAAGTGTTAACAGTCTTTCCTATCCTGTTTGTCTTTGAACTGTGATCCTCATATCTTAGCCTGCTAAGGCATGGGCCACCAACACCTGGCTCTATCTTTATCTCTTTTGAGATCCAGCATATTATTGTATTTATTGTAAGCATTTGTTAACCATTGAGGTTTTCATAGGTTTACTATGGTAAAGGATCTTTTAATGACAAAAATAATGTAATGTTAGCCAAACTGGGAAAATAAATATGCTGATGTGGGCTAACTTGTGAACTTAGTTTATTTGCTCCATAACTATATGATCAAACAGAGCTATTGGTCTTAACTTTTCTTTTCTAATTAATGTCTTAGTTTTGAATTTCATAGGGTATAAGGATTCAAGTTTTAGCCTTATTCCTGAGGGAGAGTCACTTCATTTTAGTATATCTTTATAGCACTTGATGCACAGTTCTGCTTTTTGTCACAATTGTTTACGTTCTCATAGTAGACTGTGAGCTCCTTGAGGGCAGGAATCTTATTCATATTTTCTGGCATCCGTTGAACATAGTAGAAGTTGTCACAGAATAGGCATTCAGTGAGTAAATGACTTCAGTGAGTGAGTGAGTACTGGTACACATTATATACTGAGTGAAAGAGTGAGTAATGCGTAAATTGAGCATTATATATTATAAAAATACATGTATTCTAAAAATGTCATTTCTTTGGTCTCTGTTTTGTTTGCTCATTAATTTATGCCCTGCCTACTTGCAAAAAGGATTTGAGGTATCTTGTATGTTCCCATGTGGAAAATTCTCATTGAACCTTGTATATGACATATCAGAACATTAATTAAGTATAATGTAGAATAAATCTAAATCCTTAGCATTTTTAAATAAATGAACATTGGGATTTCGACATCATCGATGACATGATCAAAGTGTAATCATTCTCCCTGACCTTCAATTCCATCATTTTCCATTATAGTTGAATATATTTAACCACATAGTTGCAATATAATGACATGGTTAAGATCTTCACTTTGTTTTATATTTCTCTAGTCGGCGTGGTACAAGTCTAATGGAAGATGACGAAGAGCCAATTGTTGAAGATGTTATGATGTCCTCAGAAGGAAGGATTGAGGATCTTAATGAGGGAATGGATTTTGATACAATGGATATAGACTTGGTAAGGAACTGACAGAAGTAAGACTTCCAATTTATATCCTTCAGAAATAAAGTTACTTAGCAAAAGTTTTAAATTGCTATTATAAGGGTGATGTAGGGGTTGCAGTTACGTAAGTCAAGTAATAAAGCTATATTTTATTTAAAAAAGAAAAATTTTGCAAACTAAAAATAGTTTACAGGGAAATAAGTTCTGCAAAAATATAAATTTCTATTTACTCACCATTATAAAAATATACTAGTAAAATGATAACCTGTTATTGAGACAAGTTTTTAAATCAGATAATAAAGTTAAACTTGAAGAAATAGTAAACACATTGTTAATAATTATATATATGGCAGTACATAAAGTACTTATACATATTTCATTTTTCCAGCTATCGCATTGTACTTTATGAAGTAAATTGAGAGGATTGACCATAGTAAAGTTTGAAAAGTTAGTTTATCAAATGATAAAAAATAGTAATCAGAAAAACTAAGACTTATGAGCCAGGTCCTATGATTTGATGCTTTAGTGTACCATGGTATATTCTTCTTAAAAGGTAGAAGTAATTTAATATGGTTTCTCTTTAGAATAATATAAGTTGGAGGAAAATAATTTGACAAGAGATTTTTAAGGTAAAATGAAAAAGTGAGTTCTAGTTTTTGCCACTAAAAATAATATTTTAATTGTTTTTGTACTTTTCAATAGTGAATAATTTGAGTGTACAGTATTTGAGATAATGTAAACTTACAATCATATAGTTAATACACCTAATGATAATTAATATGGGCATTTTCAGTTAGTATGTTTATAGATATAGCATATGTCAACTCACTTTCTTTTTTTTTCTTCCTTAGCCACCATCAAAGAACAGAAGAGAACGAACAGAACTGAAGCCCGACTTCTTTGATCCAGCCTCAATTATGGATGAATCAGTAGGTTTACTTTAAATTTACCCCAGGATTGCAAAATCAAAAGTATATGCAATAACTGCGTTTGAGATTGAAGAGTTGGGGCAATATAATGAAAATGGATGAAAACAATTTGGAGTGGAGAAAACAGAGGTTGGCAAGTAGAATTTCCATAGGGGAGGGTGAATGCAGTACTGGCACCAGATTAAAACTTGTTTCAATTCATGAGCCCAAGGCTCACACCTGTAATCCTAGCTACTCAGAAGACTGAAATCTGAGGATTACAGTTCCAAAGCAGCATATACATACAGTCTGTGGGACTTTTACCTCCAATTAACCACCAAAAAGCAGGAAGTAGAGCTGTGGATCAAGTGGTAGAGTGCTAGCCTTGAGCCAGAAAGCCAAAGCACAGTGCCTAGACCCTGAGTTAAAGTCTCAGGATTCACACACACACACACACACACACACACACACTTCTTTCAAAATCCTTAGCCAACTGCGATATGAATATTAAACAATTTAGAACCTTACTATAGGTTTAGGTTTCCAATTAAAGAATGTTACATGAGAATGGCTTAGAATCAAATGTATTTCAGAAATATTTACTATGCATTTATGGATGGATAGCGTGGCTCAAGATTAATTACAATATAAAAGCATAGTGAATGATAGTAAGAATTTGATGTTGGGTGTGGTGATTTAGGCCTGTAATCTCAGCACTGTTAAGACTGAGGCAGGAGAGTTTTAATTTTGAAGCCAATCTGGGCTAGTGCAGGCTTTCTCAAAAGCAGGAGATGGTGGAAAAAAACTTGAACAAGAGGTTAGTCAGTTCCTTTTTTTTCTTCTTTTTGGTTTCCTAAAATTGGTTTTCACTGTACATATCACTATATTTGAACTCATTATGAAATACTTGAACTGTTGATACTACCTCAGCCTTTTTGAACTCATTATGAAATACTTGAACTGTTGATACTACCTCAGCCTTTCCAGTGCTGGGGCTATAGGCCTGCAATATAATACCCACTGTTTTTTTGTCTTAAATATTAGTACCTTGTACCATATTCTCTCCATCAGTGCTTTGGTACATAATCTCCTCAGTCATCACTTGGACTATATTGCAGTATTTACACAGATGTTGCCATCTCACTCCTTTTTTTCTCTTAGAGAATTACCTTTTAACAATGCACATCTGATCTTTTTTTTCTAAGTCTTTTTTGAAAAGTTTTCCTTAATTGTCATTCAGAAAAACTACTGACTCCTTAGCCTGGCAAACAAAACCATTTCCACCTTAAACTTATTTTCTTCTTATATTTGCATTGTATATTCTATTCCAGTTACATCAAAGTTTTTAGTTTGTCTCTATCATATTCTATAACTGTATAACTTGCTTTTCTCTGTGTCAGAAATACCCCTTCCTTTTTCCTCCTAGTAAATACTTCCTTTAATACTCAGTTCTGATAACTGTGAAATTTTACTGACCTCTCCAGATAGGTATTTTATTCTTGCTTCCTTTAACACTTCATACTTTTTTTCTAGTTTCTGGATCTTTTGTTATATTCTCTTTGTCTATATTGTCATATGTACTTTCATTGTGATAATTACTACCTTGTAGTGAGATAAGTTTTTATGTATCCTGTTCTCTCAGTAGACCAAACTCCTTGAAAGCACTATTGATTTTATTCATTTTGAGTTCTTCCTAGTATAGTGGGTATTTAGTTTTGTTGAAAGAATACTTATATGCCATCTCACTTTTTAGTGCTGACTCATTCCTCCTAATACTTATTCCTGTTGGGGACTATTGTATTGTACTGTGAAGCAACATTCCTTCCTTGCCTTGTTCACCTGTTAGTCTTTTTTCAGGGAGCTCCTGAAATTATTTTATTTTTAAAAACGTATGCTCTTGGAAATACAACAAATTCACACTAACATTAATGACGCTAGATATTTGACCCAAAAGATAGAATTTCATAGAGCAGTGCTTATCAGTCTATTTTTTCTCTAATGTGCATTTGAGACATCTGGAGATCTTATGAGATCTAACTAGTTTCTACCTCAGTAGGCCTGGAACGTTGGCCATTTAACAAGAGCTGTTGATGGTTCAGGTTAGGTCAGCAGAGCATTCTTTATAAAACACTGGGGACCTATCCTACCAATAATATTACAGTTTAAATGCATATTGAAGTATGTGCTTTTTTTCTGATTATCTAGAGTAATTTGTTAAATAAAATGTGCATGTGATGATTGTGATGAGGGATATAAACTCATCTTTTAAAACAGATATCAAATGCATTCATTCAATACCTTATCAAGGTAGAAGTTTAGTGATGAGGAAGACCTTCCCCTGCCCCTACAATTACATAGTCTAGTGTACCCTGTCTATTCATTGGAAATGGAAGTACAGAAGCTAGTATTGGACAGCTTATGTACCTAATACTATATGACTTACTTTGATCCTTCCAGCAACCTTGGGAGAAAGATGACAAGATTCTTGCTTTTATAATTAAGTAAACAGATAACAGAGAGGTGGTTTGGTGACTTATGTAGAGTTGTGCAACTAGTAAGTGCCAGTGTAGTAAATTAACCCCAGTTTTTTTTCATAATCCCATGCTGTTAGTACTACTTATACTTGTGGAAACTAAAACCAGACCTTATTTTGATGAAACACTAAGAAAATTAATTAGGAAATTGAAATGATTTACCATAATCAAAACTGATATGAACAGTTATAACTCTTCATATTTTTATGTATTCATCTGTCAGAACTGTAAGCATTTGTTTCCATAGTTACATGCTAGATTTGTAAAAAGATGTTCTACAGAAACAGATTAGCGGTAATATAAAATGTGTATATTTTTTGATATTTGATATTCAGAGAAAATTGCAGCCTGAGTTCAGTAAAAAATAGGGACCTACTAATTATTTATGTATAGCAACTTTATGGCATTGAATATGTTGTAACAAAAAGGCCTTTATTAACTTGATAATATTTTAGCTGCCTTTACTATTAAAATAAGGACATGTATCATGTTTGTAATTTTATAGCATTACCACATGATGGCAGCAGGTTCATAACTGAGTGCTCAGTAATCATTAACATTTCAGGTACTTTTAGGAGTTTTCTGTATTGTTTTTAAAATTTGCATGAGTTTATTTACTTATTTTTATTTATTTTTGTGCTGGAACAGGGTCTTAAATGTAGCACCTCATACTTTCTCACTTGGATTTTGTTCCTGTTCTCATATCTGGTACTTTACCACTTGAGTCACACCTCCAGTTCAGCTTTTTTGCTGGTTGACTGGGGATAGAATCATACAAATTTTCTGCCTGGGATGGCTTTAAACTGCATGAGTAGCTAGATTATAGATGTGAGACACCAGTTTCCAGCTGAGTTTGCATATGCTAGTGTCTATCCATATCTTAATAAATAAATAACTGAAAATGTTTTCATTAATAAAACAGATATGGATTCAAGCTTATGAACAAGTGAGTCATCAAAGTAAAAACTGGAATTTAAATCTCTTAATGCCTAGTTCTGATATTCTCAAATTCTAAGTGGACTTAATTCTATACTATAGAAATATTCCAAGCTACTACAAAATAATTCATAAGTATGTCTTTCATGATTTTCACATTATCTAAGGGTGGTAATAAAGGAAAAAAACAGGCCATATCATTTTGGGGGTGCGTATGCATCAGGTTGTAGATATGTGATATAGTTGACTTTACATTTGGACACAAGATTTATTCATCCCATAAAATTGATAAAGGAAGGGAGCTACTTAATTTTCTAGTGTGTACAAAAGAACAGAAAGAATTTAAGATGTCCAAATGCTTTCTAGTCAGGCACTTTGCAAAGAACCTAAGTTCATCCTAATGCCATACTCTACACTAAGAATTGACTAGTTAAAATTTTATCCTTTCATCAGGTCTTTCTATACCAAGAGTCACAAGAGTGTTTTGACCAGAAAGGACCCTTAAACATCACCGAGGTTTCTTTAATGTAAACTAACCACTGAAACTCTTGAGTCTGACCAACCAAAGAGAACCCTGAAACTTCTCTTTGGAGCAGGGAATACAAAGGATAAGTAGTGGAGTAGTTAGGGTTAATGGGAATTGTAAGAAGTAGGGTGTATAAATCTTCTTTGTTTTCATTGGAGATTCTCTTACACTTCACATGGTACTTTATTACAAAAAAAGCTACATTTTTTCCTCGTTTGAAAATACAGATTTCTTCAGATTAAAAAAATTACAGCTTCTAATTTTTGTTCAAGTTATATATGTGATCCAAGAGTCCTCCATCATTTTAATCTCAGCTTGTTACCTCTGGCTTTGCTAGGAGTTCTTACTAGCTAATAATTACAGTATTCTGAAGTATTGCTTAATTGTCCTATTAAGTGCTAGAATTTTAATTGAAACATCTAATTTAGATTATACACCAAAATTATGTGCCACACTGGTTTAATGAACAAGGAGGAATTAATAGCTGTTCCTCACTTGCTTTGACTTTTAGTGACAAGTAACTGTTATTTTTTCCCTAACATTCTTTTTCCAATTGGAATGCATAGAAAAATATCAATGTAAGTTATTTTCTTGCTTTCTTACAATTTATAATTCCCTTCATTAACTCAGGCCCACTTTTTTTAAAGAAAGCTTCCTGTTTTAGCTACATACTTGTCTTATTCTTGGCTTTTTTGATCTGCATGTTCAAATGCCTTTTAAAAAACTGTAACCACTTCAGAGTGCAAATGGCCAAGACTTTCTTAAGAAAATCTTAAACACATTACAGTGACCCTCCATGTCAGAAGTGTGTATCATGAAACATGTCTTCAGGGCTTTAGGAATGTGTATACATACAGTAAATCAGTTGCCATCTTCACTAGTTCGGATGCTGTTATTATTTCAGTCACATGAACTTTGTGTTACATATCTGGAGAGTGGTTTTATTAGCATTTTATTTAATATAAAAGGTTAATGTAATAATATTTAAATAATAGATATGTATTTTATAAAGATAACTATTTTAATGAATTTTTTTCTCTCTCATTAGGTTCTTGGAGTGTCAATGTTTTAATACCAGTACACAATTAAATCTGTGGTGAAGTCATTTTCTAAGTGGAAGAAGAAATTTTAAAGTAAAGTGTGAAATACAATGAAATCCTGTACAGATTTTTCTCTAAGGAGAATATGAAATGCTTATGCTTACCAAGATCAGATTAATTGAGAGGCAGTTTTGTTTGCCTGAAAAAGTAAAGGACAAGTAAACAATTTGATGATAAGCTACAGTTTTTCTTAGAAAGTAAATATTTTATTTATGCGCTGTTAGTTGGCTTTGAAATCAATTTATTTCATGCTTTTTTACAAAACATAACAATCTGAAGAGGCATTTGGTACAGATAAGAAATCTCTCATTTATTTACTGGTTGTATTACGTAATGATGTCCTCTGCTGGATTTCTGTTTACATCCAAGAATCAGAAGTTAAGGATGGTTTATTCCCTGACACTGAAATTGTAGGATAGAATTGTTTTTAGCATTCTAAATTTAAATGCTTAAAACACCAATCAAAACTTTGTTTTAAATATTGTAATTGTGGAGAAAAGTTAAACTTATAAGCAGAACTTTTACAATTTTTTCATCTAAAATGTATTTTAAGATATTTTTAAAATCCAAGAGCTTCTCTATACTTTTCAGAAATATCCAGATGCAGTGAACTGCCAGAAGGTAACCAGTCTCAAACATATGCTTATCCCATTATCAACCCTGAAAGTTTGCTTGTCCTTTAAGATAAAAATGTAATGTTGTGATATTCCTTCAAGTAGTGCCACTGTATTTTGTCTCCAAATAAAAGAAGCTTATTGTAGTATGTTTGCAGAAAAATTCTAAACAAAAATTATACAGCTTATTAGAGTGTGGGAATAGGGATCTAAATTTTAAATAAAATTATATATATATATAAATTGGTGCTGATTTTATAATTGCGCAGTTTGTTTAGTTTTTTCTTACTTTTAAATTCCAACTTAAAATTATGAGGTTTCAGAAATATATTGAAAGTTTAACAATGTTTAAAAATAGAAAAGCATGAATGTTCATGCTTTAAAATGATTTTTAAATTTGTATTTTATATTGTTTTATCTATCTGTCTTTGCAAGCAGTCTTCAGGTTAAAGATACTTCTAACAGGTTACAGTACATTTCCTCTGTATGTAAATTAGATGGGATAATAGAATTCATAACCCATAATATTCTTTGAAAGCTAAGCTTTAAACTTCATTATGTCCTTTCACAAATTGAATTAGTTTAAAACAGAAAGTGGCTACTTGCCATTTTGACATCAAACTCATTTTGCGAGGCTTAGGCAGCTAGACATCGTTTAAAACAAAATATTAACTTATATTACATGTGTATCTTTTGTCAGTCGTCTCTCAGTTCTTGAGGTATATTATTTTAATCATTCCATGCCTTAATATGCTTGCAATATAACAATATATTCAGATGAGTGAAACCAAAAGGCTTCCAGATTTTAGAATCAGAAAATCAACAAGCATTGGGCTGTGGTAGCCAAAAACCATAGATTAGCTAAAAGATCAGGATAAAATACAATTATTATATTAAATCCTGGTTAATAACAAATGAAACCAGACTTGTCTAACAGATTTTCCATCAACAAATATTGTTATGTGCAAAAGTATTGCATATGTTGTTTGACACACCACTGCATTTACTAGAACTGCTGAGAGGACTGTATATATGATTTCAAACCTAAGTTGATTTTTTTTCTCACTCTTGAAAGGAGTACTTCTTTGTGAAAGCAGTTCTTACAGCTTTGTTTTCAACCAGCTAAAAATGTTTTATATATTACTCTAACCTGTTGTCCTCCACATTCTATTGTCCTAATTGTACTGTTTTCTGATTTGTATTTATGTCTTGAGACAGTAACTTTTTGAATAAAAATAAACCTACAGTATGTTGTATGTTTTATCTCTTGTAATCAAAGGGGGAGGATGGCTCTAAATTACTTACAAATTATATCACATATTTGAATGTTTTTTGAGTGGAAATGTTTATAGAAAACATCACCATTTCATATTTTAGTAAATCATATGTATTTTTAAATGAGATTTAAATCTCTATGAGTAATCCCACAAGCCATTGAAGCTACTTGATAATAAGGATATAACATGCATAATTGCATAAAGATAAAATGGCATATTATTCATTGTGCCATGGTGCATCTTTAAGGAATCCAGCTGGCTACTGAATTGAGTGGTGTGAATAAACATTGTTCTTAATATGTTACCCAGCTGGCTTCTCTGAAGAGAGTATAAATTAAGTCTGTGTTCTGAGACTTCCAGTAGTTAATGGTTTTAAAAGCTTTGGATCCGAGAAGTAGGATAATATAAGAGAGACATATTTGTATTATGCCACAAAAGGAACTTGAGGGTTCACGTGAATGGGTACCAGTTTAAATGGAACCAGATAAGCACACAGCCTTAGATTATGAGAAAACTAGGTGACAAAGTTCACTAAATTAAAGTCAATGTTTTTTAAATGGGTGGTGATAATAGGGGTTTGAATCCAGAGCCACCTGCTTACTAGACAAAGGCTCTACCACTCATCTCTATTTACATTGTTTACTTTTAAGGTAGGGTCTCTCATTTCTGTTCCTAGGCAAACCTTAGACTGTTAACCTCACTGTCACACGTAGCTAGGAACACAGGTATGTGTCACAATGGCCGCTGTGTTTCTGAGATTGGGTTTTGTTAATGTGTTTTTGTTGTTGATTTTTTTTTGGTTTTGTTTTGCCTAGGCTGGTCTATGATCTTTCTATCTTTGAGACCCTCATAACTGAGATTATAGTGTGTCACTGTGCCCTGCCCAACACTCCTTTATGATTCTTTGTGTGCTTGATCTTTTACTAGCTTCTGAACACCCAAAGGCCATGAAAATGGACTTTATTTTTAAGTTGCTTATAGTTTTCAGTGATTGAGATAATTAGCTACAACCCTAAAAATCTGAATTATGTGTTGAGCACAGAGCAGGAGCACTAACAGTGAATATATTCAGAAAGTCTTGAAGTTGTGTAAAACTGACAAAATTGAATTTTTCTGTTGTCAATCATCTTTTCCCCCTAAGCCATTGTTGGTGAGAGCAAGCAGGCTGTCTTTGGAGCAAGTGGAGTGGACTATTAAACAGCACAGTGATGATAAAAAAAATGGAATTTTTCCCAACATTTTCTTATGAAAAAAATCCATGTGTACAAGGTGAAGGAGTTTTACAGTAAAAACAAATACTTTATATTACTTTGTACCTAAGAGTTTAGTGATTAACAGTTTTTTTTCTTTTCGTATAATCTTGTACAGTAATTATATAAACTATAAATTTGTTAGTTTGACAAATAATTGAAGCTATTTAGCCCAGTCCTTCTCAAAGACATTGAACACTCATCAATGCAGAAAGTTTATGTTCTCTAACCTATTTGTGCTGCTTCCATCCTTCCTGAATAGGCAAAAGCTATTGTTTCTTTTCATCATAAACTTGGCTGTTCTAGAACCTTGTATAAGTGGAATCATGCTGTATTTATTTTTGTGTATAAAATCATGTTGATAGCAGAATGTTTCTGAGATTTATCTACATTGTGTATATAAACAGTTACTTCTTTTTATCCCTAGTAGTATTTTGTTTAAAGATATATTACAGTTTATCAATTTAGTGATTTGGCTCTTAGGAATAGAATAAATCCGCCACTTAGATTGCATCTTAAAAACTGCATCATGGGCCATGTGAAATGGGAATGGGGATGACCAAGGTTGAGAGTTTCAGGCAAAGGCAACAATATAAATGATCATCTGGAATGTAAGCTTAGGCTTGGGTGGGGCAAGAATAAAAGAATAGATATAAATTTTCAAAATGAGTCAGTACAATTGGTTCCCTCAGTATCTTGTGGGTATTTTATTCTTAAAAGTATTTGAGGATATAATTATTTGTGTTTATATAGTGTTAACAATATATATTTGTGGTAATCAAGACAATTGTCATTTCCTTAACATCGTTCATTTCTTTGAGGGGGTGCTTAGAATGCCAGAAAGAATGAAACTATGCTACTCACAGGAAAATGAATGGACTAGAGAAGACCAAGTTCAGCAAAATAAACTAGATTCTTTTAAAGAAGGAAGGATCGGGTGCTTGTTACTTAAGCCTGTAATCCTGGCTACTCAGGAGGCTGAGATCTGAGGATTGCAGTTTTAAATCCAGCCCAGGCAGTAAAGTCCATTAGACTTATCTCCAATTAAACATAAAGGCAGGAGTGGGGGCTGGGAAGGTGGCTCAGTGGTAGAGTGCTTGCATTGCATGCATAAGGCCCAGGGTTCAATTCCTCAGCACCACATAAGCAGAAAAAGCTGGAAGTGGCACTGTGGCTCAAGTGGTAGATCACTCACCTTGAGCTGAAGAGCTGAGGGACAGTACCCAGAGTTCTGGCCCCATGACCGACCGAAAATATAAAAGGCAGAAGTGGAGCTGTGGCTCAAGTGGTAGATTGCTAGCTTTGAGCAAAAAGCTCAGGAATAGCGCCAAGGTTCTGAGTTCCAACCCCAAGACTGGCACTCCCTCAAAAATAAAAATAAAAAAGGAAGGGAAAAAGAGGACATAGAACAATAGGGGGTACATATAGTAAAAGTTCATTCCACACATGTAATGAAATCCAATGAAATTTTACAAATAATGCTAAAAAGATGATACCATCTCCACAAATGCTGTAAATTTCTGAAAGGAGATTCTTAAATTGATGTTTAACTTGGGATTGATAATTTAAACAAAATGAAGGCTGGATTAGCTACTATAAATTTAAAGTATTTGCTGACAAAATTGCATATATCATGTGCAAATGGTGTTTTGAAACATACATTGTAGAATGGCTAAATTAAACTCAGCATGTTTTACCTTGCATATGTATTTTGTGGTAAAAAAAACAATCTAGTTTTCAGTAATACATTGTTATTAGATTTATTACCATGTTGTGTAATGTATCTCTTAACACTTACTCTAATTGAAATTTTATATTTTGTAGTCACTTCCCCCAAACCCCTGATACCTTGAGCCTCAGGAGATTGCCACTCTACTTGGCTTCTCTGAGTTTGATTTTTAAAAATTCTACAAGTAAGTGAAATTGTGATATTTTCTCTCTACAATTGGCTAATTTTAGTAAGCAACATGTCCTGGTTCTTTCTGCTTCAAATAGCAGAAATTTTATTCTCTAATGGTAAATAATAATCCATTGGTTATATATGTCAGTTTTGTCTTCATCTCTTTATTTCTTGATGGATACCAGTTGATTCCATGTTTTGGCTATTATGAATAATGTTACAGTGAACACAAGAGAAAATATACCTTTTTAATATCTAATAATGATTTCCTTTGGATATATACCCAGGAATGGGATTGCTGAGTCATAATAGTGATTCTATTTTTATGATATTTTAATATGTGGGAATTTCGTTGTTATATTTCCATACATTCATACAATACACTTAGAACAAATTGACGTTTATTGCCTTTACTATATTCCCATTGCTTCCCTTTCCCTTTTCAAACAGCATTTGATGGGGTTTAATTATGCTGTGTGTATATGTGTGTGTGTGTGTGTGTGCATGTATATAAACATACATATGTGTGTATAGACATCTATAATGTCCTTTGATCTGGTTCACTAGCTCCTGCTTTTCCTCTTTGCCTTCCTACTGATCAGCTTCTAGATAGTCTAATTTTTACACCCATGTCCCCAAATCATCAAAACCACCATAATCACTTTGGGACTAACACTGCAAATGACTGAAAATATGTCATAGTTGCCTTTTTGAATTTAGCTTATCTTGTTCAACATTATGATATTCAGTTTTGTTTCCTGCAAGTGGCAATTTCATTTTTGTCTATGGATGAGTAATATGCATGGTGTGTGTGCACACATGTATATGCATACATAGTATAAGTATACACACACACATACATGCCGTTCCTTGGTTGTTGTACACCTTGGCTGATTTCAATTTGGCTATTGTGAAAAGAGCCGCAGTAAACACGGGCCTTCAGTTATCCTCCTTGTATATTGATTTCCTCCTTATATATTGATTTAGATCTCCATTGGATATATGTCAAGTGTGGTATGGCAGGATCTTAAGATAGTTTAATTTTTTGAGGAACCTCCTTGTATTTCCAAGCTGGTTGTAACATGGTAGTTGTCCCAAACACTGCAAGGACTCCTTATCTCTAACTTGTCACCAGGCAATGAATTTGTCATTTTAATAATAGCCACCCTAACAGTTGTGGGTGATATCTTGTGGCTTTGGTTTGCATTTTCTTGACAATTCATGATGTTGAGCACTGTTTCATAATACTTGTTGGCCATTTATTTGTCATTTGCAAAATTTCTATTCAGGTCCTTTGCACATTTTTTCAGTCACATTGCTTTTCTGCTAGTTTATGAACTGTCAATATGTTTACCCTTTACCAGATGTGTGGTTTACAAGTACTTTCTCCAACAGATTATCTTTGGCTTAACCCCATTTGTATGTTTTCACTTTAAAAAAGTTGCTGGCATGTATGTTTCACATAAATATGGGACATGCCCAGGAATGAGTAGTTCTCAAATAGGTTTTGAGTTCCATTTTGTTGTTTCTTCCACAAAGAACTGTGCTCTTTTAGAGAAGAAAAGACAACGTAAAAGGCAAGTTGGGGGAAGGCAAGAATTGAGACAAAAAGGATTTAGTAGAACTGTTGTAACAGGTTCTCCTGGTCCTGTGTCTAGGCTGGTGGGGTAGTTAACCTTCCTTTGACTTGGCTGACAGCAGGTGAGCAGCTACCTTGTTTTCTTTTGTGATTTTATGTTCTGCTTTGATGCCAATGGAGGGAGGGAAAATTCTTCTCAGTTTGAAGAACCATGGATTTTGGGGAGGCACGTTCTCTCCCAGCTCCATCA